CATCGGTAGACTTTCGTCATACTCGTCTCCAAATCACTCTATCTAATTCCTATTAGGGTTCGGCTCGAGTCCGAGCTTTTAGAGGTTTCCTTCATGGTGTGTGCAACGAGTTAAAAGAAAAGATGTACAACCCAATTCAAAAAATAAATGTGCGAGATAAAAAATTTAAATATATACACAAACAAATAAACAAAATGATAAAAATAAACACATGAGATAAATTAAAACTAAACCTATGGCCTAACTCTAGTCCCCGAGTGGAGTCGTCATTCGTCGCTACCCAACGTCGGACGGGACTCCTCAAAAATATCTAAAAATTAGATTGAATATTTACAAGTTTATTTATAGAGTTTGGAGTCGCCACCTAGTATTGAAAGAACTAGGAACCTAAAACGGACAACGGTTCGGAGATTCTATGGTAAGGAGTTGGTTACGCTTTTGGGAAGATATCGATCAACCAAAAGCACCCTTTCGAAAAAATGTACCACGTCCGGTTTAGCTCTAAATTTATCTCCTAAAATATTTTATTTACGTCAAATTATTTTTTGATTTTTTAAACTCCCACTTTTAAAACAAATTGAATTTTTTAGTTTTTCGAGCATGACATCGTATTGAAACGATCGTCGGTCCCCTTCGTCGGGCGACACGTCGATTCAAACATCGGATCCACTTTAAGCCTTGACACAATCAATGTGTCGGAGGATATTTCGATTTAAACAATGATTTTTTTTTGGGACGTCGGTCCCAATCGGATAGGAGACTTCGTCGAGAATTTTAGATTTTTTTGTGTGACGTCGGTCCCTACCATGTAAGAGACTTCGTTGAAAATTTCGATATATATTGTTTTCTAGTTTTTTTTATTTTTTTAATAAAAAAACTCTAAGATCTTAATTAACCGAAATCAACTAAAATAAATTTTGAGAAATTGAATGTATTAAAATCACTTTCCGCCGTAATAAATAGCGAGACTCGTTGATCCAATATTTTAATCACATAAAAAAAACATCACATATTAGAATAAATTCCACAACTAAATATCTCTAGATTTTCGAACATGCATAAGACAAAAAATTATTACAAAACACATAAAAAATGAAAAAAAAAAAACAAACACAAACGAGTCCAAAATTCATACATTGTAAAATTATCGAATGCCCCTAAAATACCAAGAGTCACCGCCAAGCAACCATTCGTCTTTCGATGATCGTTCCGGTGCGTGGACCACCCAACCTTGTAGATCCGATCATTGCGACTCCGATAGCGATGGTTTCAACCGGAGACGATGCCGAAGGAGGGAGATTGGAGCCTCCAAAGGTTCGATCGGATCTTTCTTCTTCACCGACGATGAATCCGACCTCCTATCGGGATTCCAAACCCACCGGTCGACTCGCAAGGCCGAGAGAAGAAGTTACGTGGTGGGTAAGACCTCCGATTCTTCCTAGATCGGCCAACTTTTTCGGGTTTACCAAAACGGGTCAAAAACGGATCGAGGTCAATTAAACCATTTTACGGTGTCGTTGGGCCATAAATTTTATATGAAAATACTCGAGGAGACCAACGATCGGGTACGTGGTGGTCGATCTCATGTTGGTGATCGGATTTGAGAGAAACGAGCGGGTCTTTATTCGGGTCGGATTATGGTGGTTTGATCTTTGATTTCTCTCTCATTTGTGATTTTTTCTCTCTCTAACCGGTGTTGATGGACCGATCTAGGGATGGGCTACACGTGGGTATGTTGATCGGGGTCGAATATGATCGAAAAATGATCAATTGAGGCTCAAAAGTTTCGACCGGGTAAACGGGTAATCGAGTATGGTTATTGGGTTAGGGCGTGTTTGGCTTCTTCTTTTTAGGGTTTCAATATTATTTTTTTTTGTTTTTTTTTGTCCGCATTTTTTCTTCCTTCTTTTTCTCCTCCGCAAATTGAAATTCGAAAGCTTTTTATAGGCCAAAAACGTCTTAAAATTTCTCCTAAAATCAATTCAAAAATCAAATTTTAATTATCGAATCTTAATTTTGAGATTTTTCTAGCTAAAAATAAGGAGATTCTAGTTAAAAAAGATTTGTGGAAGGTTTGAACAGATTTTTTAATGATTTTACGAAGATTTTATATTTTTTCCTTTTTTGTTTTTTTTTTTGTTTTATTATTCTTTTTTGTTTTTTATTTTATTTTTTCCTTTAGAGGAAAAAATTGGGTTATGACATTCGAAAACGGCCTTTCGCACACATGAAGGGCACTACGAGTTCATGGTGATGCCGTTCGGTTTAACCAACGCGTCGGCCACTTTTCGAGCACCGATGAACATAGTCTTTAAACGACCTCTTTGCCGATATGTACTAGTCTTCTTTGATGATATCCTCATTTATTGTATGTCTCCGGCCGAGCATGTTATTCACTTGCGAACCGTACTAACCCTTTTGCGTGAGCACCAACAATTTGTAAACGCAAAGAAGTGTTGTTTTTATCGATTGGAAGTAGAGTATCTTGGCCACATCATTTTAGAAAAGGGGGTATATGTTGATCCTAGGAAGGTGAAGGCCATGGAAGAGTGGCCCCTGCCTCGAAGTCCTAAAGAGCTACGAGGCTTTCTCGGGTTGACGGGATACTATCGTCGTTTTGTTCGAAATTACGAAAAAATTGTAACTCCCACGACACAATTACTTAAGAAGGACTCCTTTGAGTGGACCGAGGAAGCAAGTGAAGTCGTGAACAAGTTAAAGACGACCATGAAAATCGTTCCCATCTTGGCTCTTCCCAACTTCGATGACACGTTTATTGTAGAAACGAACGCATCCGGGACGGGCCTTTGTCTTGTCTTATCTTAACGGGGACGACCCATTGCTTTTTATAGCCATGCTTTGACGGAGTCGAGCTCGTTACAAGTCAATTTATGAACGAGAGTAGATGGCAATTCGAAATGGCGTCACTACTTGCTCGAGGCGACATTTCGTTGTTCGCACCGACCAAAAATCATTACGTTATCCGTTAGAGCAACGAATGGTGGTCCTAAAATATCGGCGGTGGCTAACTAAAATTATGGGTTATGATTTCGAGGTGCGGTATCGACTCGGCTCGGAGAATAAAGTAGTTGATGCTCGTCACGCATTCCCTATCCGACAGAACTCCGGGCCATCTCTGTTCCCTCTTGGATAGATTGGCAAGTGTTGCACTAGGAAATTGAACGGGATCGACGCTTTCGGGAGATAAAGCGGTCTCTACAAATGGATCCTACCTCTAGACCGAGCTGGTCGTTGGTTCACGGTGTGTTGTATTTTCAAGGGAAGGCTGGCGAGTGCCTCGAACCTCTTCCTTAATTCCCAAATTCTTAGCGGAATTCCATGACGGCTCTATAGAGGGGCACGGGGGTTCTTGCGCACCTATAAGCGACTATCTAGCGAGTCTGTATTGGGAAGGAATGCGGTCTGCTATCAAAAAATATGTGGAAGAGTGTCCAACGTGTCGGCGGAACAAGTATCGGACTCTCTCTCCAGTCGATCTTCTTCGGCCCTATCGGTTCCTCGAGCGATATAGGAGGATCTTAGCATTGATTTCATTGATGGCCTCCCAAAGTCTCGAGGATATGATTCCGTTCTTGTTGTGGTGGTTCGTACGAGTAAGTATGCGCACTTTATTTTGCTGAAACATCCTTACATCGCCAAGACAATGGGCGACCGGTTTGTGATCTCGGTGGTTAGATTACACGGATTTCCTTAGAGTATCGTAACCGACCGTGACGAGATTTTCTTGAGCCACTACGGGTCGAGCTCTTCGTCTTTAGCATACTCGATTGAAGCGTAGCATGGCCTACCACCCTCGAACGGATGGGCAAAGTGAAGTCGTCAATCGTTGCTTGGAGACATATCTACGATGCTTCGCTGGGTAACGACCACTACCGGTGGTCTCGGTGGATTTCTTGAGTCGAATACTGCTATAACACCTCATTTCACACGGCCACCAAGACTTCTCCATTCAAGATTGTATATGGCGGGGAACCTCCCACCTTGGTTTATTATGCACACAACTCCACTTCTAATTCCACATTGGATGATATGATAGTGCGGCTTGACTCGATGATAGGCTGAACTAAAAGAGCGAGTTACTGATTGGCTCAAAATCGCATGAAGCAAGTCGCTGAAAAACGTCGGCGTGACATCGAATTTTCGGTGGGTGATATGGTTTACTTAAAGCTCCGTCCCTACGAGCAAAGTTCTTTGGCTTCTCGCCCAAACGAAAAGCTTGCTCCACGTTACTTTGGGCCTTTTTCCGTTGAGCGGCGCGTCGGTAAAGTGGCTTACAAGCTCATACTCCCTCCCACCATTGCTATTCACCCTGTATTCCACATATCACGGCTAAAAAAAGCCTTGGGGAACACCGAAACAGTACTGACCACTCCCACCTGTCTTGACTCCCGATATGTAATGGGAGGTTGAACCGGAAGGCTGTGCTGGCCACGCGGGGCACATCGGAGGACTTCGAATTGCTCATTAAGTGGAGGAACTTATCGGAATTTGAAGCCACACGGGAACCACTCCGGCTGATTCAAGAGTTGTTTCCTACGTTTCACCTTGAGGACAAGGTGATTGTTGATGGAGGGGGTATTGATGGGCCAAGGAGACCTCCAATCCGGTTCACATATTTCGAAAGAAGAACGAGGGCTTTCCTAGAGTTGGAATGGATACTGGGTCTAAGCATAAAAAATAAATAGGGGCACTGAGAGCAAGCGCAAGACAAGGACGTTATCGTGGCATTGAAAGGGGCAAGTGTCTGTGTGATTGCAAGTTTGTTATGAACTTTTGTCCTTTATGATAAGCTGGCCATTCTGTTATGCAGTGGAGTCTACAAGTAAGGAATCATGGGAATGGGGTCACTATCGAGGAGTATTTTGTAATTGAGTGAATTTGATTAGAGAGAAGGCAGGCTCTCAAAATCCTGTTGGTGTCATCCTCACATTAGCAACATTAATATACAAATTCCCCATTTCTCATCCCACCGTCCTCTTTTACATTTCTTCATTTCTTAATTCTTCTGTCATAAAGCTTGGTTCTATCACATTCTGATACAAAAAATTCAGAACATTACAACACATGAAGAAAAAATGGAGTTGCATTATCAGACAGAGAATTCAACACATTACAGCATAGAACAGCTTTTCCACATCAAAACCTCTATGCAATCATACCCATGCCCCAACATCTGTCATACCATAACCATGAGTAATCCATGTACAACCAACCAACCAGAGAAAACATACGAAAACAGAAATAAAAATGTAATTAGTTATTTAGTTACAATATAGATGTCACTCGAACAGAGTTGTCAGCTGACCCAGTGAGGAAAATGGGTAAAGTGGGGTGCCAGTCCACTGTTGTTATAGCTGCACTGTGTGGCAGAGTCTTAAGGCCATTCGAATACCCTCGAACCTGAGCCAAGTCAATAAATTGGAAAACTGATCATCACAAATCAAGTCATAGATATTGCAAAGGTGTGAGAGTCAACCTAAAATGGTCAGTCAGGAACATGTCAAAGAAAATTGGTTGAAGGCCAGCCTTGGGACTATTGAGTGAGTAAGTGAACTAAAATTGACATCGCAAAATGAAACACTTCATCGACTGCATAGTGTGTGTGTGTGTGTGTGTGTGTGTGTGTGTGTGTGTGTGTGGAAGTGGAGGTGGGGTAGAGGGTTTCACCTGATATATGGGTGCTCTTACTGAACTTGATGTTACCAACAGTTTCGTTCCATTAGCATCCAAAGCCATTTCATGCATACAATGTTTTGAGGTCCCTGGATCACAGAACCTACAAAATGAAATAAAATCAAAGTACTTTCCATTAAATCATATAACCAATAAAAAGATGCAATTACAGGCCCTCCACTTGAGGGCTGGTAAGAAAAATGAAAAAGAAAATACAATTACACATGAACCATCCTGTCAGCAAGGAGCAACCATTGGACCATTTGGCTAAAAACACAGAAGTAACGGGGGAAGATCGAAAAATTAAATCTTTGAAAACAGACACACACATTCACAGGCACAGAATATTACTAGGGGACTGCTTATCTAAATTATAAAATAGCAGGTGGAAGTTAGGTTTTAATCCATCATGTTACATCATATTAAGTTTCATTACTTGCGTCTAATTCCAAACTTACACAGCTCATTTTTGTCCGAATAAATTTGCTATGGTGAGACAACAATGGCAAAGAAACTAAGCAGTAAGCAGTCAAGTAATACAACAAAATCATCCTGTGACTACCTAAAGTTATGTAGAACCACATACACTAGCTATCAAATAGTGATATGAAAGGAATGTGGTAAGATACTTCAAGACATATTTCAGTTTCAAACATTGATGAAACCAATCATCCCAACGAATCAAAACCAGCATAGTTTATGATAAGCGATGAAGAAGTACCTGGCACAATTCCTTGACCAAAGGATATGACCTTGGTTTTGCAAGCTCCATTCAAATATCTGACCCCACCAAAACAATTGTCAGGTTCTCTCTTGTATTTTATTTTATTTATTTTATTATAATTTGAACAAACCTATAAGGTTATCCACATTGGGCAGTGGCCATGAGGACAATAACACAGTGAAAACAGGCAGTTAACCATATCAACAAAACTAGGATGTAACATCTACAAATAATAACCTGGATGGCATGTAATTCGACAACCAAAGTTGATATATAGGATCAAAGATGATTACCTTCCCATCTGCACCCAAGCTGAAAATACTTGTCTCGTCAGGCCCAAAAAGAATTGAGCTTATAGCAGTATCATGTGCAGGCCACCCAGTAATTTGTAGACCAGCAGCCATGTCTTTGGCTAGTTAAGGTGAGTGCAAGCATATCTGCGTGCATATCACAGAACACACAACCTCAACTGCACATAAATTGGTCACCATTTCTTATCAAGAAATGACTGGGGCACCCCTCAAAGCTAACAGGGCAAAGCAACAATATTGATATCTGGGGGAATATCATTGACAGGGGCACATGAAAAGCTTTTCCTTTTCTATAGGTGCAAATGTGCAACCATAAAACCAGGGTTCTTTCATGCACATGTAAAGCAATAACTAGTTAATTGAAATAAGGAAATACGGAAAAAAAGAAAAAACTAGACCTAAGATTACAAAAGGATACCAAACATGTGGATCATTCCATCAGTTGCAGCAGCTGCTAAAATCTTTCCATTGTGATTGAAGCTTAAGGAAGTAATTGCCGGTGGATCTTCACCAAGAGGTAGATCTGACTTCATTAATTTTAAATTCAGTAAAGAATAAATAAATATTGTTAAACTGCGGTCAAATACAAATATCTGGGACAAACAAGGACATACCATTGCTCTCCATGTCTTCATGTTCCATACAGTTAATGAAGCAAATCCCAAACTATCAACATAGCTTGAGCCATGCCTGCAAAGACATTGAGGCCCTGGTAATCCCTAGCTTAATGATAAAGAGAGAATATAGAAGAAATTAACATAAACATGACCGTCTATACAAAATTATACATAAACTTCTCAAATAATACTCCATCAGGAAAAAATAGTTTTAACTCACTGAACCAACTCAATTAAGCATAACACTGGTAATTAGTCATGGGCACCAAACATGATATAGAGACAATTTTAGGAATCAAGTTGCAATTTCCATATAGCATCTTCGAGTTTTATAAATATGGCTCTAGATAGAACTATACAGAGGAAAATGATTCATTCGTCTGATCCAACTTTTGGAATAATGCTCAGTTAACTTGAGTTGAGCATGCCATTTTTTCCTGTTTTGCCTTTTTTCTTTCTTAGCAGTGATTGCTTGGATTCTGTTTCTTTTGATAAGACAAGAAAATAAATAAATAAAGATGGTGCAGGCACCATATCTCAACACAAGCACAGATGAAAAAAATTAAATCGCTTGAAACTAAGCTCATCAGCTAGCTCAAAAAGTGAAATAAAAAGGATTCAGTGTAGCGATATCTCTTAACAGCAGTTGTTCTGCTTAAATTGGTTAAACTAAGTTGAAGCTTATCAGCTAGCATGTAAACTACAGGAGATTACCATTGAAGCACATAATTCAGTACTCAGCAACTTTTAATTCAACCAAAACTATACGGAAGTACCTTCTAGAAGCTGCTGCAGAAACAAAAATTGGTTCTACAGGGCTACACTTTAGATCCAAGACACTGCAGGATAACAAAAGATGTTAAGAGAAAGTTTGAAGGCAGAACATAAATGCAGCTATAGTTTTTCATGTAAGTGCCTGGGAAATGCTTTGCTTGTGTTCAGATCACAGACAACTCTCTTTGCATCAACATTCCATGCTTTAATTCCTCCATCAGCAGTGCCTATGAGAAGCTTTTGTCAAAATGAACAATGGTGCTTAACAACGGGAATTTCTAATCTTCAATAATTAAATTATCATCTCTCTAACAAACCATGTGTTTACTAGAAAATGGCACTATACATACCAAGCGGTCAGATTTGCATTCCCAGTCAAGGGACATAACCTCTGCCCCACAATATATGGTTGCATTTCTTGATGCTGGAGTTGATGAGTCATATGTCCATATCCTTCATCAAAAAATGCATGGTGAGGGAAGGTAGGTTAAATTGGAAGTCAACAAACAATAAAGATGTTAAACAACAAGTGCAATTAATCAGGTTATGCCTAGGTCTTCCTATCACCACTTCAGCAGTAAGTACCTGACTGTACCATCAACAGAAGCACTAGCTATATTGTTCCCAGAGGCAGAAAAGCGGCAACGACTGATTGTGCTTGTGTGGCCTAAAAATGTCTCCTAAAACACATGGTCTTCTAAAAGTCAGAAAACTATAATAAAAATAATCAAGGAACACACAAACAACAAGGTATAAAAGGAATTATATAATAAAAAGCACAAAAATATCCACAGGCAATAAAGCCTTCATAGGCATTTTCACCTGGAAGTCTACTTTCACTTCTGGGAACTCTTCTTCATCCTGCATCTGACAACCATCATCTGCAATATCACAATCAATAATTACTCAACTAGAGAGAAGCTCAACAGCATCATTGGCCAATACATTCAGGTAACAAACAAACAATTTAAATCAGGGTAATAGAACATCTTAGCAGCCATAAATATACAGCCCTCAATCTAATTTTTGTCATGACTTATAAGCCAACACATGGTGTGCTACATGTTTCTAGCTCAAACATGGAACAATATCTACACACCACTCAGTGCCTAGCTTTTAATAACATTAACATGCCAGTCAAAAATCCAACCACTATCATTACTTCACTCAGTACATGACTACTATATCAGGACGATAGCATTGCATTCCATCATCTTTCCAGTAATACAACTCAAAATCCTCGTTCTCACCAGGCTTCATGTGTAAGCAAAACAAATAATGAATCCTACATTTCCCACCTCGTGAAGGTCTACCAGGCTCATCAGTTTTGCAGAACATACTCTAGCATTTTGGATATGATTGTAACAGAGATTCTAAGCAATCATAATTCATGAAAGAAAAGTTATATGGAATGATGACCCACCGTTATAAGAGCCATCACAGTTCATATGACTGACATCACTTTTACCATTTTCAATGTCAATATCAGCTACAGAGCTTGGTTCATTCCTGGGCCTGGACACATTTTTGGCAGGTACCCCAACAATCCGTTCCTGATTTAGGTCTCTTTCACCTAGACTCAGGGTTGCAGGAACATCAATTTCCTTGTCACTTGCGGATAAAATAAAATTTTCTTCATCTACACCACTAGATGAAGTTGAACTGTTAGCTTGTCTGACACTTGTTTCCAATGTTGATGGAGCATTACCAGCATTACTGAGACAAAAATGGTATCAACTGTCACCGCAACACAATAAATAAACCACTAAAGGGAAGAAGACTATTCCTACCTCCTTAACCGGCATATCAAAGCCTCTTTCTCCTCCAATAACGCCTGAAGTTGAGATAGTTTAAGATTAAGTTGTTTAATATCTTTTTTGAGATGGTTGACTGTGTTCTTCTCTGAACTTATCTTCAACAGCGCAGGGATGCGTGGCTTAGTTAAGAAAAATTCTTCACAATTCAATCAGTAAAAATATTTTATTATGAACAGATAATGCTATGCAATATTTCATCTAGTAGTATTTCATGCCAGAGATCATTTAGCTTTCTTGTAGGTTCGCAGGAGAAGGGAATGGTTCTACATAAAAGGAGTCTGTTGGTAATTTGAGGGAACTCATAAACCCCATAAAATGACACAGGTTTTGCAATTTAAATTTTAATTCAGGAATCAAATACATTATCATCTAAAAGTAGTTCACATAAATTGGCAAATGGATGATGGATAAACATTTTAGGCTATAAAGCATGGACCAGCTAAAATGATACTTCATATTTCAAAATGCATCATTTTAATATAAAAGGCATGGTAAAATGTTAAAAATAACATGGAAACAGAATATTTCAAAACAGTGATTCCACTCAAAAGGATATGAGTACCATTGAAGATCTCATTGAAAAAATTCCTAACAGACAACCGCAACCCTTCATACCATTCCTTTGAGAAATAAATCCGAAAATGAGGATCCAAGCTAGGATTCTTCACATAAGGAATAGCTACAGAACAAAACCCAAAACAAAAAGCAAATAAATAAAACAAACTGACAATCGGAAACACCAAAAAGAAAAAACCCACAAACCTACCGAACCATGGAGTCCAATCATCCGCTTTTTGCGCCAACTCATTCCCATTGATCCCAAAAAACTCCACAACCTTATCTTTCCTCCCCAATTGAATAGCGTAAACAATATAGTGCCGCAAAATGTAACCCTCCAATTTTAACAACGTATCAACAAGCACAGTCTCCGATAAGTTGGAAAAACATTGCTTAAAAAAATTAAGTAAGCCCACTAATTTATCTGCTTGAAATTTAGGAATATAAATAGCAAATATCAAGTCTAATAACTTATCAACTTGAAACCCTTTACCGATATCAGTGGATAATTCCTTATCAAGAGATTGTAGGGTATTAGTAAACCCTCTGAATACAAGAAATTCTCTTACTAGCTCCTCTGCATATTGCATGTTCTCCATGTTTTTGTTTAAACCCTACACAGAAAAAAAAATAAATAAATAAAGACAACAACCTAAGACAGTTAGATTGTAATAAAATGGACATTTTTCAAGCATTTTGATTAACTTAATTCAAGGAATTTATTTAGGAAACAAAAGATATTTAAAGAATTGTAAGAGATAAGACGTGAATTTGTACCTTGGAGAATTTGCAGAGGAAATCGAAAGAGAGATTTGCTTGGTAAAATGAGATTTGGCGCTATTTTATTTCTTTTCCGGTTTCTTTATAACAGAGTTTGTTGCTAAGTTGCGCTGCTAATGTAAGCTGGAAGGTTGTGGATTTGTAAGAAAACAAAAACAAGTTCATGGGTCTGGTTTCATATTGGTCATCCAAGAGGTCCCTTTTTCTTTTTCTTTTTTGTTTTTTTTTTTTTTGGCCTGTAACGTAGAGCCTAAATCCCGAAAAGTACAACTACGTCCGTAATTGGAGTAAATTATAAACTAGTCCTTTTAGTTTTGTTAAATGAATTAAATAGTTTCTCTAGTTTTGAAAATTAATCAATTAGTTCCTAAATTTTTAAATTTATTTATAACTTAATCATTTATCAATTTATTTAGATTTTAAAAAAAATTGAAACAAAATAATATTAAATTAAATATGATCAGCACGGATCAAAAAATTAATTAATTAATTTTTGAAATAAGAAGAGCTATTTAATTTGTTTTACATAACTAAAAAGACTAATTTATAATTTATTCTTCAAAATTGTACTTTCCACTTCCATGTAAGGTAACAAAGAGGAAAAAAAATATAATTCTAATACATCAAATAATTTACCTTTCAATTACACCTTGTCGAAGCAACTTAAAAAAGAAAACCCTATGGCGGACCATGAAAAAAAAAAAAAAAAGAGAACCTAAGGACTGATAAAAAACCAAAATTAGCAAAGCTAAGATTGTCTGCCTTCGTGAGGCATGGGTAATGCGAACTTGTCAACTTGTACGCTTCAAACTTGGAATTTTTCTCGCAACGAACGGTCGTCTTGGGCTTCACTATGCAGCTGCTTACAAGCTCTGGTCAGGATTTCTGAATGGGTTTCAAACTCTACCTGCTTGTATCCCAAGTTTCATGCCAATTGTAAATCAGTATAAACTGTCTACATTTGTTCTTTAAAATAGGGAAAATACCCCAAATATGAAGAAAAAAGCAAAAATATAACGTGTTATTGTACCATATGTCCATGAAATAAAATATTTATCGTATACACAAGAAAGCTTGGCCAAGTAGGTGTACGCCCCACTAGCTTTCCTAATAAAACAATATTCCAATCTTTCTGACTCCAGTTTTTTTTATCCAATATTTTTTTATGATTAATCGAAGAGGACTACCCCATTATGTAATCCAATAAATCTATTGAACCTTTAATAAATAAATAAATAAAAATTATTTATCGCATTCCACTTTTCATCTACACAAGAGAAAACTATATTTATGCTAGTTGGCTCGTAGAATTGCTAATTGAAATCTTTAAATACGATTTGGAATAGATTAATAACTTAATAATAAAAATGCATGTTTAGAATCAAATACGGTGCAAATTTCTTGAAAACTGTGCCAGGCAAAGGCATCCATTCAATATTTCAATCTAAATTATCGAACAAAGGCCGCCTTCCATTGCTGGAATGGGGTGATTCAATTTGCAAAAACAGTGGCCTATGTATCATGAAAATTATTGCAGACATTATAGCATATGTTACTCAAGCACAGCAATTTATGAATAATCCAGCAAGAAACTACAAAATGAGAACTTAAAACAAGAAGCATAAAGCATCTAGTACAGAACACACTAATGATACAATAATCTTCTTTGCTAAAGATATCCATCCTCCATTTGCAGCAGCAGCATCTCCTGATGATTAACATGAACAAAATATGAGAACCATTAGTCTACTCTCTACAATATATAAGAACAAGAGTCAGTTCTGAAAAAACGAGGGAAAAAAGATGATGAAACCGTGTTACCTTGCAAGCCTTTCAATAGACTGGATCGATGCTAATTCTGAAACTGTGGTCGCAGTCTTGACAACACTGTCACGTACAGCCAGTTTAATGAGTCGTTCAAGAATCGGAAATAGGCATGTCTGAAAGAACGCTTCAGCATTACAGTGCCCGAAACTCCCCAAAAGCCTACAGCAAAACCAAGTCCCATACCAGCATACAAACATTTTCTGAATTCATCTTCTTCATTGCCTTGGCTGTCACCATTAGGTAGTTTAGTTTCAGGCAGATCATCTCCTGGGCATTTCTGCTTGACTGGTGGTCCGCATAGCACCAGATTACCAACAAATGCTGAAGCTTTAAAACTCTGAAGCTGGGGTGCTTGATGGGATTTTTCCTGAGAAGTTGTTGTAGGAGAGGTTCAAGTAACTCAAAAACCATAGATCAGGCACGGTAGTAGGAATTACACCTGACAACTGATTTTCTGAAAAATCAATTGCTTGCAACCCTTTAAGCTGCCCAATTTCTTGATGAATAACTCCAGTCAAAATGTTTCCTGACAAGTTCAATGCAATCAAAATACGAATATCTGTTATTTCTGCTGGTATTTCTCCAGTTAATTTGTTGTTTGAGAAAACAATAATTCTCAAAAATCCAAGATTCCTTCCATATTTTTACTCACTTCCTTTCCATCCAACAAAGGCCAAGCCAAAACAGCAACATTTCACCAGCCCCACCATTGTTTCCTCTGTTGAGAGTATAAAGAAGATCAACAGAACTATCTGATTCCCTTGTTTGAACCGTGGCAGTAACGTTAATCAGGCTATTTGGTATGCTTCCAGAGATGTTGAGAGAGAGGTCCAAGATTCAAACATATGTTAGCTGGCATAGCTGCAGAGTTATGCTTCCATGGAACGCATTAGATCGAATGGAAACAACTATTTATTGTAAATTTGACCAACAACAGTTTCGAAGCCAGATAATTGGTTATTTGAAAGGTCTAGAAAGCTCAAAAGCCCACCTAAAAAGTTACAGATATAAGTAATTGAGCCTGAGAACTTATTTTGGGAAAGATTTAATGAACCTGTGTTTGAAGGAAACAGTGGCAAGGGACCATCAAACTGGTTCAAACTCAAATCAAATAGGAGACAGATACCAAAACCAATTAGAGACAGTATCTGAAATTCCAGCACAAGAGATATCAAGCTGAGAAAATTGTTTTGGTTTTCAAGCCATTTTGCGAAATGGGGCCCCAGGTTGGTGTTACTGTGATAAATGAAATCTAAATAAAAAGGAGGAACCCAATCAGATCCAAATTTCAATTCCAAGGAGTAATAAGATAAAGCCAGATAAAATACCGGTTATTTCTTCAGTCAAATGGTTTCTGCGCAAGTTCAATGCTACCAACCTGAAAATACCGGTTATTTCTTCAGGAATTTCTCCACTTAAATAGTTGCTTGAGAAATCAATAATCATCACAAATCCAAGATTCCTTTCGTATCAAGGCCTCGTTGGTTCCAATAAAACCGATTCCACCATGGTTTGTTATAGAGAGAGATGAAGAAATTACTGGTATTATTATTAATTATGATGTAAGAGCATCATACGTACTTTTCCTAGCAATTACCAGTGATATCACTTCAGATTGTAAACAATTGTCAAAACACCAAATCTAGTGCTGATCTTCCTAAAAAAAAAAATGCTTTATCTCCTTTATTTCTTTCTTTTTTTCCTGGAAACCGACCTTCATGTTGACCATGTTTCCCAGAGACATACGAATAACAAATATTAAATGTAAAATTTGTTGCTTCAGATATATGGTCATGTCATTGTATGTGTCAAAGGATCTAATATCATTTCTATTCCTAGGGTGACTAGACTAGTTCAAATCTATTAATTAAAGCTCTGCCTCCTCCTCTTCATTCTCCTTCCCTCACTATCACTATTTTTTTTCAAAAAAAAAAAAAAAAATCCTCTGTTGACAATCAACATCTTCTTGGAAACAAATATAACAGAAAGAAATTCTTCTCAAAAAACATGTAGCAGAGAAAGAATTGAGCAAGCAAAAAAAAAAAAAAAACATATAACAGAGAAAAAATCAAGGGCAAGCCAAGCGCATAATGGTTGATACCTGGCCGTACTGAAATTGCAAATTTCAAGTCTATTAATTTATTGTTCAACTAAAAAAGTCTACTAATTTATCACCACAAACAATAATAGCAGTTCATCTCATGATCGATCTAATGCATCAAAATCTTTTCTGCTATCATCAACAACATATATAAAAGATATTAGAAATATGATGCCACTGAAAGCTACAAAATATAATATGGTGAAAAATACTGACATCAACCTGCATTCTTGCGTTCTTGGTTATCTTTCAAGCATTTGCTTCCATAACAACCAGCAACATGGCTCAAGTCGATAAGCTTCTTCAGTTTCTGCAATGCATATATCATAATAATGAAGCTGCAGAGGCATAGAATAAACTAGGAAGTATGCCTTACCTTGCAAACATACAAACTAGTAAGTATGGCTTTAAAGAAGAATTTGAAACTCAATCCTAGATTACTAAAGTGGCCTACAAGCTGGAATTACCAAAAAGATTTTTGGTAATTCTTGTTTTTCATGTGCCTTTACTTAAAAAGAAGGTGGGAAACAATACAGTCATCACAACAATTTTACCCTTTAGTAAATGATTCAGGGAGGTTCAAAGTTTTCCCAACTGATGCTCTTGACAGAAAGTTAACAAAAAGAACTAATATGGTTGTGGTAATAGGCTTAATCCAATGGTCCAATATGGCCAAAGAAGATCCAACATGGGAAGTTCTCGCAGACCTAGCTCAACAATTTCTCGAGTTCAATTTAGATCCTCGTAGATAAGGATCAACTTATGTAGGGAGCAATGTTAAGAATTGCGTTTGGATTTCCTGATTGTGTTTGATTTCTAGTATCAGTTCTATTCGTTGCATTAGCTATTTCGAATGAAAAGGACAAATAAAGCAGAGGTAGCAAATGGCCTAACCCTCATCAGAAGGGAGCCAACTACTTGAACAAGAAAGGAAAAGTTTCTGAAAACAACTATAGCAGTTTATCTCATGATAAATATAATGCATCAAAATCAAAACACCAAGTTATTATAGTTCTCCAATGATTCACATAATTAAACTGCAAGTTTCTTTCCTACAAAACAAAATTAACTAAGGAATATCAAATGCTATTGGCTACTAGCTCCAATCCTTCGTTTACTTGATTGAAACAGCCTCACTTGTATCCTGCGGATATGTTAAAACACTATAAATTGGTCATAATGAATTATTGGACTTAAAATCCTATATTATCTTTGACAGGTGGCACGACCCACTGTGGTTAAAAGAAAGTAAATAATGCATGCAGATAATAATGTTAAAACGTTTTAACATATATTTCACAAGAAATTCAAGTAATCTGATCCAAGAGGAGGAATTTAAGCAAATTACTCACACATGATGAAAAATTGTGAGTAGACTATAGAGCATCAAGATAACAAGCCACGCACGATTTGCAAAACAATAAACAATAAGCCACAGCAGTACGAACAATTCTTAAATGTTCCTACTTCAGTAGTTATATAGCAATCGATATACTCGGCAGGCTAATTACAGCTAGCCATCAATCAGGTTTAATTTACCACAACAGTTTACAAGTTTGGTTTAAGAAGACCTAATATCAATGTCAAAATAAATTTATAAAATCAACCCCAACTAATTTGTCACTTCAAACTACAAAACAGACACATCCATCTATGATGTTAGAGTGTTATTCACCCTTCCGAAGGAATTCCCAATATCCTTTCATATATATATATATATATATATATATATGCAAATTAGGTGATTAATTTTCTATGGTTTGGTCGAAAAAATTAACTAGAAAAATAAATTAAAAGCTAACTAAAATAATAGAGATGTAAGAATATAAAAATAGATCGAAAACTTAAAAAATACAACTGATAATAAGAGAAAGACTTGTAACTAAGATTTACATTACAATACAACTTTATAGTAGTTTAAAGATAATTCAAGAAACTTAAAAGACAATTACGTCATTAATGCATTAAATATATACATTTAGAATAATTAAATTGATTTTTTAATAACACATTTATGCGTTATTCAAAACTTCAAATTAATTCTAACATAAAATGCTTTTAAACTTGAGAAACCAAAAAAAAAAAAAAAAAAAACTTTTAAACTAAAAAAATCAAACAATATGATTTTCTTAATGTATTCCTTTTTATTAGGGTTACTTTGAGAAATTAAGGGAAAAAATTCATAAAAATTCTTCCAATTCAAATCCTTTTTTCTTTAAAAAAAAAAAAAAACATGTTTTTTAATAGAGAAATGAATAAGTAAAGAAATTAGGTCTTAAACTTAGAAAAAAAAATACATCTAAATTAAAAAATATATATTTGATTTTACTCTTTCTTTAAATAATATGATTTTCTTGATGTGATTAAGTATATGCATTTAAAATACTTCTAAATTAAAAATATCTGATTTTGCTCTTTCTTTAAATAATATAATTTTCTTTATAGTAGTTTAAAGAGAATTTTAGAAACTTAAAAGATAATTACGTCATGAATGCATCAAATATATGCATTTAAAATAATTAAACTGACTTTTTGAAAAGCACAATTACACATTATTTTAAATTTCAAAATTAATTTCAACATAAAATTCCCTTAAACTTAGAGGGGACAAAAAAAACTTCTAAGTTAAAAAATATTTGATTTTACTCTTTCTTTAAATAATATAATTTCTTAATGTGATTAAATATATACATTTAAAATACTTCCAAATTAAAAATATCTGATTTTACTTTTTCTTTAAATTATATAATTTTTTATAGTATTTTAAAGATAATTGTAGAAACTTAAAAGATAATTACGTCATTAATGCATTAGATATATGCATTTAAAATAATTAAATCGACTTTTTCATAGTACACATTATTCTAAAATTTAAAATTAATTTCCACATTAAAGTCCCTTAAACTTAGGAAAAAAAAAATACGTCTAAATTTACAAACATCTGATTTTACTATTTCTTTAAACAATATGATTTTCTTAACGTTGTCTCGTTTTGTTAAGGTTCTTTCGAGAAATTAATGAAAAAATCATAAAAACTCTTCCAATTCATATTCTTTTTGGATAATGCTCGTGACTAGTTTCAATTGCAGATGAGAAAACAAACCTCCTCGAAATCGTCATATTTACCATGCTAAGCTCATTACACAACTTAACGTTTACCGTACCACGTAACAACAGTATTACAATTATCGAGGGCTTTTATATTCTGCACCAATTGGCAGCAAGCTTCGGCGCCTCAGAGGAAAATGGGTAGTTTTGAAAAGCAAACCTGTCAATTATCATAATCCCTACTTGATATCCTTCAGGCTTTCAAAACGGCAAGAAAATTGGCAGACTGAACTTAACAAAAAACATACAAAAAAGCATATAGAGCTCACATCTCAAAGTTGAGAACTATTGACAGGAGGGTCTTGCACATTTAAAATACAAAATTGCACGGTCCATTTCGAAACAGCAGCGCTTCATCACCGGGAAACGCATTTTGGTTAGGTTAAATTTTTTAGACTGTTACCTCAAGGAGCTGGATGTATATAATAACCTAAAACACTGCCTTTAACAGATTTGTCCACCAGAGGGGTGATTGCCGTTTCAAACCGCAGCAGTTTATTTATTTCATAAACTTTGAGCAACCTTCTCATACAAATCACGAGGCCAGTTCCGATTCATATTATTTGCAAGGAACTGTGCAATCTGCAAAAGGGACCAGAAAAAATTTAAAATTTAAAATAAAAAACATAATTATAAGACAATAACATTATGTGCCACAACTAAAAAGAAAAACCACATTTTCAACCATAATCACCACCTAAATTGATAAGATCAAATCCAACAATTCATTTTCAATATCAAATCAATTTGTGTCTGATGGCCACTATTATTTGCAAATCAAAACGACTTATAACGACAAAAGCCCATAGAGCAAAGAAATACGAACCAAATCAAATAAATAAGAATTGTGCATAGGTATGCATTTGGCAGCAGATATGAGTTCATTATTACATCAATTTGATTTTCATCATTAAAATCTTCATTTCTAGCCCCCACATAATCTGTAGGAAAATTATCAAAATGCTTGATATTTTTTTAGCTCATCTTCATCATTTTTTTTTTAACTAAATGTGCCTTTTTTAGTTTTCAAGTTTAATACATTGTCTAAACTTTTTCTCACAATTGGATGTGTCAACTATAATTTTTATCAATTTAGTTTTCTTAGCAATTCCAAAGATTTTAAACATATAGGATCGCATGACTATGATCCAGGTGGTAGTTTTTAACAACCTTTACTCTTCAAAACTACAAATTTGTAGTAAGCAATTTCAAAGATATCACAAGCAAAATAAAAACAAAAACAAAAAGACAAAAGAAACGAGATCAGAGCATAAATTTCCCAAAATACCTTCGCTCTCATGGCACGAAGTGACCCATCAGAATCTGTCACGTTATCCAAACATGTTAGAGCAACCTTCAAAAGGTCTGGCACACACGCCTGAACATGAGGTGATAAATTCTGAAGCACATCAACAGTGATATTTGGCACTCGTGGATCCAATGGAAGAAAAGGAAGTTTGGCAAGCTCCCTTAAAGCATCAAGATGATGACCTAGTCTTGCCAACTTGTGAACAGATAATATCGCCTCAAGCTGTCTCAACACAGTTTCTTGCTCTAGGACATGGTCTCTTTCTTGAAAACTGGCATCAGAACCAAGTGATTAGGTTCAGGAAAACTATAGAGAATATGAAAATAAATAAATGAATAACACTATAACATTGAAAACCATTCAAAAGCCATAAAGCAGGAATTCTAAAAATTCAAGAAGTAGTATACCAAACCTTAGTGACCTAGTCAAAATGTTGGAATCCCAGCAGTTAAGTTCATTGATTTCAATAAAAGTCCCAAACTTGAATTGATGGCAAGGATAAAGTTTAAGAGTTGAGAAGCAAGCATCATCAACCAAGTTCAACAAAGAAAACATCATTTAAGTAAATAATCTTCATGACTGTGTAAAATAAGTGCATAAAATAAGGGTATAGGACTAATTAGCACTTTGAAGAATTCATAAAATTGATACACAATTCAATACTAGCTTAGTGCATGAATGTTAAGCAAGTAGTCAACATAGATCAGGTTATGTCATGTGCCACAAACAACAATTTGAATTTCAACAAGAGTTAGAGATATCTCTTGTTGATTACAATTTAATCTCAAATTTAACCATGTATGTAGGTTGCAGACAATGTTCACAATATAATCATGAAGTTAAAGTTCAAGCTTAGCTATACTATGCTTCAAGCACTTGCAATTCAGTAAAAAATATCACAAGCAAACTATCATCCCAAACTTGACAACAATGCAAGAAAAAGAAGCTAAGGAAAACATAGAGGATCAGAATTACCAGACATCAGGATAATACTTAAATGTCTCGAGAATCTCGTTGCCAGAATTAATGAGACCAGCAGTCCGGCTCTCACCATCCAATCTACCACGTGATAGCGCACAAATTGCTTCAGACAAGCACTTATTGATTGTATCTAAAGCCATAGAGAATGCCCCAACTCGCTTCTGAATTTCTATAGACTGGATTTTGGCAATGAGATCAGGGCAAATCAACAATGAGAAAATGCAAGGCAAAAGAACAATGGAGGTACGGAAAAAAAAACAGCTAGTCCCTATATTGCTTTACAAAGAGATGGATAACATTACCAGAGGAAGAGAGTTGCATAATTAGAGAAAAGATGTGAAGACTCCCCAAAGAACACCAAAAAGAAATGATTTCCAAAACAAGAAAGTCAAAAGGCAAGGAGAGAAAAATTTACCTTTTCATCAAGTCCAGCTTCTTGACACTTGCGAGCGGCTTCAAGTAGAAACTGCTGTCTTGCTTTGAAATCAGTCAAAAAGCGCGCCAATTCACCTTCTTCTCCAGCACCTCTTGGACCCAATAAAAGATAAATACCACCATCCCTTAGCAAAAGTTCGGTGAGAAGTTGCTTCAACATCAAGCTTCTCTGCTTCTGCTGATCAATATTACCTCTCCCAGTCCATGATGTTTCTCCACCACCTACTGTAGCTGCAGCTTGAGCATAATATTCTAGTGCCACTGAGAGATTTCCATGCCGTAAATATGCCGACCCATACTGTCTAATTATGCTAGAGACCTCTGCATAAGCATCCATTACCCCAAGTTTTTGCCCGGTTCCATCACCTTCAATTAAAACCCCATGGTCAGCCAGTGCAATTGATACATGGACTGCATCAATATCATATCCTTCATCTGCAGCTTCCTTAGACAAATATAAGATAGCTGGTAGCATCTGGACGCTTAAAAGTAACACATAAGGGTATACGAGAGGGTCTTTCCCATTTTTTGTATAATATGATGGCTCAAATTTATTCAAGTATGACTGCAAATCCTCCAAGCTGCATGGCACCAAACTTTCATTCAGGACCAGAGATGAGGTCCCACCATGGTAATCTCGTACAGCTGATAATTTGAACCACAGGAAATCCTCTATAGTATTGAAAAGGGTTGGATGATCTCTCAACAGGCGGTCAATTTGCCTGCGGGAACCAGATACTATAGCATAGAGCAGCAACTTTTTCTTATCATATGCAGCTCGACCCACTCGATCACCCATTCTTAACATTTTCTCACATTCTTCTGAAGCAGCAGCTGCAATATCCGCAGGCACCATACCTCCAGAGTTAATCCACTCCATGAGCTGTGAAAGGGAAAGCTAATGATGGAGGCTGCTTATAAAGTAAATAACTTTTTATCTTAAGGAGAGAAAAGTCAGTACCATAGGAGCAAATTGGTGTGAAGAACGGGAAGATAGGGCAACAGTTCTTGCTTCCTCATAATACCCAGTTCTCAAGCAAAAGTAGATCTGTTGAAAACGGCAAAATATGATTTAGTATGAAACGCAGATTTTTTGGATAGAAGACTAAGAAATGCAATATTGATTTGTCATGATAGCTAGAAAAGAAACTTAGCATTCTGCTATTTTGGTTTGTCATAATAGATTCAAAAGGAATTTAATGTCTGCTGAATGACTTGAGCCAAATTAAAGAATACAACCAACAGTTACAGGTGCATGCATGCACTCTACATTAATTACTTTTGTTGTCTCTGAAATACCCTAACCACCACTGCTAGTGTTGTTTACAAATAGATAAATTATAGCAACAAACTCATAAATTTTAGCCACAGGTGGTCTCTCTATAAAAAGCCAGTGTAGATGGTAGTGGTGTGCAATTTCAAATAAATTGGCTTGGTCACTGTAATTATGAAAGCAAAACACAATGGTTATTATCTTACTGATATATTGTGGTTTCTACTTTATTGACCCTTTAAACAATGGTCCTCTGGCTTTCACTTAATAAGCATTTAAGAGACCAAAAACTATTAAAAGCGTTCCTAAAACCATTCACAGGTTGTTAGGCCCTAGAATATGAATTTGTCAATGACCTGCTGCCAAGTAGTATCGACAGGAGGCTGCCGACGAGTATCGCCTGCATCAAAATCCAGAACTCCATAATCCCTTAATCGAATCTGCATGGAAAGATAAAAAGAAAAAAAAATATATATAAGTTTACATAAACAAAGAATGTTGTAATGAACAAGTCCAGGCATGCAAGTTCAAGTAGAACAACAATAATTAAACGAACCCGAAGAAATGCACGAACTCTCTGTAAATTCCCAACAGCTCCACCAAGAGCAGCCTGACATGAGAAAGAAACAATGATGAGTGGTTATCAACACGACCAGGCAACAATTTGTTACAAGCAAAGAACAAAAGTATCAGCAGTGATCAAAAACAAAATTGGAACACATACATTAACATGTATGTTGTCCTGAAAAATAATAGTTTCTCCAGAAAATAAGATAATAAAGAATCACTACCTGTGCAGGGTGATTTTGTATTGTATCCATGATGTATTTTTCATGGCCCCATTCAAGATGGTGTCTTGCACCAATCACTAATGACATTTTTCTTGAAACACTCCGTCGCATGGTTGTATTTTCACCCACCAATGTCTGTAAAGAAAATAATGCTTTTTAATTAAACAAAATAATGGATTGATCAATATAAGATAATGTTAATATGATAATGGTCCTGCTAGAATCTTTTTCAGGAAAATAAGGAAATAATTAAAAAGTATACCTGAACAAGGTGCCATATCTTTTGCATGTTAACAGATTTTCCACCAGATACTTCAATACCTAAGCTTTCATAAGCACCCTTAAAAGCTGTTGCAGGCTACAGGAATAGCAAACATAAAATAAATTATACATATATCAACAACCCAAGCATCAAGTTAACAAAAGCTAAACACAGGAGAAGATGACACAAAAGCATGATTGTTTTTGAAGATCTTACTCCTAGCAATGTCGGTTCCATATGACAGCTTGAAGAAACATATTATCAGGGCATATGGGCACAGCTAACATCTTGTTAGCTATGGAGGTCATCCTATAATTTTTTGCGTTCTTCAGGAAATTAAGCAGCTCAATCAGCAATCATTCTATCTACTGACGTGAATTTTTCCCTCAAAGAGCTTGGAAACCAATAAGGTGGATGCTTGTGCGCTTTCTTTAAACTAGGTGCTTATAAGCTACTACCTATCTCTAGTTCTTAGCTGCGAAGTACATCATAATGATGAATACTTAAAGAAGCTAGTATGTGGCTGTGATGTTTATTTGAAGAGGTTAGAGGAGAAATGTCTAATCGTTTGTGATTTATGCATGTCGTAAAATGCCATACCCCTCATATGTAAGATGCATCCCCTCTAAGGCATAATGCCTTAGAATCTTAGTGGCAGAATCTCAAGTCTCAGCCACTTCCTTAGAAATATAGCCCCTACTCCAATCCGTTCAGATCTTCCTAACATGGTTCTGGGATAGTGGTACATTGAACAAAAAGCCTACCCTTTTTTTTTTTTTTTTTGTATTAGAGCTAATACTGGCCCAATCATACATCAAAAGTGAGCATTGCACAAAATCTTAATAGTGAAAAAAGATTAATATAATTCAACAAAAAATGCATCTCCAGTTCTCAATGCTAGACTATCTATTTATGGTATTTAAGAAACAATTCTATAATATAATTGTTCAACAAGCTCCCAGTAAGCATCAAGGCAAGGCACTCTATCCCACTGAATCACTAGAACTGGACTACCAAAATATTAAAAATGTTAAAAAAAAAAAAAAAAAAAAAAAAAAAAAACGGTCATGCATGATTTGATTTGAAGATATAGAATTGTGAAGAATACTTTATGTGATGATGAAAAAAAGTGAGAAGATAAAAAATACATTTCAAGCTCAATCTGCTGCCACCCTGACTCTTAAATGCCATGAAGACAGCACAGATGCCTTTCAACCAGTCAAAATACTGAGTATAAACCTTGATTACCCGCTGGCTGTCTCAGGGATGCCTTTCCTAATCCATGAGATGACAGTGGTAACTATCATTGAAAAGGAACACCTTTTCTATTCTCTAGTAGATACGTCCTCCACTCTGACAATTGAGGTACATTTCATAGATGAGTTGGATTCACTAGTTTTCCCCAGTCTATAGTTACTCAAGATATAGATGCCTCTCAAGAAGATGCAGAAATAAGTTTTAATAAAGAAAAGGTGCAAAAACCAGCCTTACTTTAAACTGTGATCCATGCTCTCGTGCATGATTCAGATTCTTCACAACCTCAGCATAGGCCAAAGCTTTTTTCTCCACGATGGGTTTGTTAGCTAAAGATACAATTTCCATGCCAGATGAACCAGAAGAAACATGGGGGCTGGAAGTCAGAGAAGCTAATTGACCGGGACGAGTTCCCCCAGTGCTTGTATCAACTATGTTCGTCCTGGGTAATGATGAGATTCGGCTCAAGCTCTGAAGAAAGTCACGTCTTTCCTTTTGCCAATCCTCCTGAAATATATCAAGTTTGACTCATCAACCAAAGTGAAAACACAATGAGCATAGAAACCTCTAAGAAATCACCAATGACTCTTTTGGTTCTTAAACCCAAAACTGCATGCCTTTAAATGACCAACTAGCTCTGAAAATTCATTCATATACTAATTTCCCACCCTCCTCCATATGACTGTGCCAAGCCTTTGCCACCAAAGCAGCCAGGCACAATAATCAGAACAGGTTTCATAGAGAGACAAAATCAAGGGACCGAAACATCATTAAACAGAAAGACTTTTGAGCTGACCAGAATTAATCTCCTTAATTAGCTGCAGACGTGTGCTTTTTGAATAACATCATTTTCACAGAAGTTTAAACAGAATGAACAATCATTCACTAACATAACTCACAAGTTTCAAACAGGACATCACAGCCACTACAATCCCTTTCTGTCTGTCTTATATCAAAGGTAGATTATCATACCACCATTGGCCCCTTGATGTTATCTATTACATTGGCAGTGATTTTTGTGTTTTTATAATTCCAGAGGCAACCAAGTTAGTAATGACATAATTTGTTAACTTCTTAAAATGTAATTACTTGAAAGTAACTTACTACTACCATGTTCTTTCCAACTGACAAGATTAAGGGCAAAGTACAAGTTTAATTTACACAACCATCCACTTCTCTCCTTAAAGTTCAAAAAGTTGCACTGCTACCCCTAAAGTTGTCACTTTGTTTTACTGTGGTCCTATCCATTCAAATAGATAGCAGGGTTGGATGGAAATATGAAGACTACCTATGCCAAGCAAACATTACATGTATTTAACATTCCATCCCATAGTCATTCTTGGGGAGGATTAGCCTACATTGCAGCGAATATATTATATATGGGTCACATTGCAGCTTTAAAAAACTTCAAGAATAAGCAAAACAATATGAAAAGTATGGGGACTAAAAGTTACTATACCATATAAAAAATCGTTAGTAAGAAGTCACACACTATGATTGCTTTAGCAGCTTACATATACTGGCAATAAACAAAATTATACCAATATTTCAAATACATGCTGTATGGCACTAACCTCCAAAACTTTCATCATGTAATCATTAAAACTTCTTACGTTATCCTTCTGAGCTTCCTGGATGGCTGATACAATTGCCATTTCATGAACCTAAGGACAAAAATTGCATAAAATGTAACCACCAAACGAGTAACAGCCAACTTTTAAGAAGAAACGGCAGTCATCTAAATGGCAGGAGGTAACTACTTAAGACAAAGCAGAGTTGCACAACCAAATGAGAAAATATTGCCTAAGATAATAAAGCATTTATCAGTCAATTGCATGTACAATGATCATCCATCCATGTAATTAAAAAACCACTAAACTCACAAAACAAGAGAAAGAATTACCACAGTAATTGAAAGTTCCACTTCAAGAGTTCTAAAACAAAACTATGCTATTATATAGAGCCATGTTAGCACCAGCTCAAGGATTAGAACAACTTCCTGGGCTGCTATTTTGATTTTCCCCAACTTGAACATAAAGAAGAATGTTTTAGGAAAATTCACGAAGCTTAAAGAAATATATTTTAGGACAATTAATGAAGCTTTTCTTCCTACAGAGATGAAGCTTAAACAACATGTTTGTTCCAAAAGATTAGTTAGAGATTTGCAAGAAATTTTGCTAGCCATATCTGTTAGGTATTTAAAGAGGATGTTTCAAATGTAACTTTAGATTGACCTTCAGCTGACTGTCCACAAGAATTTTGGGAAGTTCCCATGCACTTAAAACCAAAGTGAAAGAAAATAATATCATCATACATTGAGGAAACAAACAAGAAAATTGTCAATTTGGTAGCTATTTTTGGAAGTCATCTTTTTTAAGCAGTCTCAGAACGTCATCATTTATGGAGAAAGAAAAATCAATCTTTCTTTTCAGACAAATGAAGAAGAAGAACATGGTTAGAAAAAAACTATTATTTATAACAACAACTAAAATTCAATTTTAAGGTCTATCTAATTCCAATATTAATGCATGAAAACTTCCATGAAGCAGCAAACAGCATGATTATGTGAACATGGTTGGGAAAAACCATTGTTTATAACAAAAACTAAAATTCAATATTAAGGTCTTTCTAATTTCAACATTAATACATGAGCAGTTCGGTCAAGCAGCAAACAGCATGATTATGTGTTTATGATTTAGTTCTTTGGTACAACTCATAACTAAATTTAACAGAGCATCTCAACTACACATTTGAACAGTCAACAGAATAACAGTGTAAAATAATATCTAAGCCAACAAAAACTAATCATAGAGTTAAAGAATTATAGAAACAATACAGTAATAGCAGCTATTACCATAGACCTGTTGCTCAGATCATCACTAAACTGAAAAAATTACCTGTTGTAGATACTCTTCAACACTAGTAGCCTCGGCAGGAAACACATCCTCGAATGTTGTCTACAGAGGAAAAGGCAAGTGTGACAAAGAATGAAATCCCAATTTTGGACTTTAAATTTTACATTGTAGCAAAAGAAACAGTAACTTCAAAAGAAGAAAACACATCACAATCCAAAAAAAAAAAATCAAAATGGTAGCCCAAAGCAAGTTAAGCATGGTTACAAAAACAAAGCAGTATTAACTAACTACTGTTAAAATTTTAATTTCATCCAACAAGACATAAAAGAATTGTTTTTCAACAAAACTATTGTATTCTCCAGTCATTTGTCAACAACTAAATTTGCATAAGTATCCACTGAAGCTAGGTCAAGTAAATTAAATAAAATGTAAGCTAAATTTCACCTTCAATTCAAAAGATTTAAGATCTCGTGCAAGCTGCTCGGCATTTATTCCTTCACGAGCAAGAAGCCTGAGAGACATCAAAAATATAAAAATAAACTTAATGCTGCCTTTAATAGAAAAGAAATCCTAGAAAACAGTATTTAAACAGTAATAGAGAGAAATTGAGAATAATCGAAAAAACCAACCTCGTAGCAGCAATAGATTGTGAAGGAGCCTCGGTTCTTATGGTTTTAGCCTTGAGTTTCTTTGATAATGCTTCTAATTGATCTAAGTTTCTCTGTAACATACACAAAAACAATATAAACTCATTAAAGTAGTACAAAACAACAAAATGAACTAATTCTAATGGTCATAATAATCATAAAAAATTATTTAATTGAATAATACTAATAAGAAACGGAATTGAAAGCAAATGCGAGCAAACTCTTTCTTTAAAACAAGACAGTATAATTCCTCTAAAAAACGCATATCGAAAAACGAAGAAAGAAAATCGGTTTAATAAATCGAGCTTCCAATTATTTTCTTTTCTCTTTTTTTTCCTTCAATTTTTCGTTTTGCCTTTATTAAATAAGAAAAAAATGGTGAATTAACAGTGACTATATAAAAGTATATCCTGTGCTGTAGAATTTGTAATGCTTATTTAAAATTGCATCGCATAGTCTCGGGAAACAAACAGTAAAGGAAAAAGAAAGAGCGAGAGAAAATAAAAAAGAACCTGAAGAGGAGGGAACTGAGCAGAAGGAGCTGCTTGTTCGAGAAGCTTAGTGGAGGAGTGAAGCAGATCGGTCCAGTTGCTCATGTCCTGTTCGCTTGCCATTGCTTCTAGCTTTTTCTCTTTCTCTCCCTCTAATGGTGTTTGTTTTCTTTTTTCTTTTTTTGGAGATAGAGAGGGAAAAGGGTTTTAGCTTGCCTTGTTTTTAAAAGCCCTAATCTTTTTAAAAAAACTACTGGTACCAAAAAGAAAAAAAAAACATTGATTTACTATTCACTGAGTGTGCTCACTAGGCTCCTTTGTGTTATTCATTAAAATTGTTATAAAATAAATAAAAATGATAAGAGAATTGAAGAAAAGGATGACAAGAAAATGAAATCACTATGATGTGAATATAAGTGATAAGAACTTCAAAGTTCTTCTTATTCCCTCTAGGAAACTTGTACGCCAACTAATAGACAATCAAGCCTATTTATAGGCTTCAAAATTGAGGAGAGAATTAGAAAGAACTATGAATGATCAATTGGATCACCCTTTCAATTTCTCATATTGAATGATGAATTGAATCATATTAAGAATCATGAATAGTGGGAATATGAAAAGTGGTTGAACATGATGATGGACATTCATTATTTCATAACAAAAATCAGTTTTTACTAATTTTTTTCACTATGCTTGTGATATTGTGATAACTTTTAAACTTTATTTAAGGCGTTTAATGCTCGTAGTATTACATTTTGATTTTTTTAAAAACAATTTTTTTCCGCAAGTTTTTGTTTTCATTTCAATCCCTTCATGTTAAGAGGAGAGATAAAAAAGAGGGAGAGAGAAGGAGAACCGGCGAGGTCCATTGTGGCCTCTCGGTGGTCGGGCATCGGTCCTTGTTTTTTTTTTCCCCGATTTTTAATTAAAAATTATTAGACAAAAAGATTTTTGAAAAAATTACAAAACAAATTTTTAGTTAAGAATCAATTGATTTTAAATTATTTTTTAGATTATTATACATTTTTTAGTTAAAAATATAGAAATAAATAAATCATCTTTTTTAATAAAAAATTTATGAAAAACATAAAAAATAATTGATCAAAACAAAATTTTGATTAAAAAAATATAAAATTGAATGAGTTTTTTTATTTTTTATTTGAGATATTTTAATAGATTCACATTATAATATAAATTATTAAATTAAAATAATTTTTATATGTTATGTTGGATCTGTATTATGAAGGTTAAAAAAATAAAATAAAAGTTTCGTACAAGTTCTACTATAGTAGAGACTCGAGAGGGAAAAGGAAGGACACGGAACTGGGCGTGGGTTATCATGGTCTGGGCTTGAGTGGAAATGGTCATGGCCTAGTAACAAGATCAGGCCCAATTAGAATTAGGATTACGAAATTAAAAACAAAATGAAAATTAACCATAAAGGTATATATGGGTCATTTTTTTGCTCTCCAAAATTAAATACTTTTTATACTAATTAAATTATTCATATCCTATTTGTGCGGAAGGAACTCTAATCGATTAAGAAAATGATTTTGAGTTCGAATCTTTATATATATAAAAATATAAATATGTTTATTTTGTATGTCCGACTAAATACTTTAATGATAAAAAAAAAAAAATTATTCACATCTTGATTGATGCATTTGCTAAAAATTTCTTATCAATATTTTTTTTTAATTTGATCTCAAACAAATTGATGATGTGAATAGTAAACCCATTTACTATTTACGTCAACATTCGAAAGGTATGAAAATTAATCATCCATATATACCTTGAAGTTTAAGATGTCATTAGAGCTGTATTGTTTTGGGATATTTATGAAGTAAAAAGTCACAAAAATTAATTTGTTATCTAGGATTTACTTGATGGTTTTCAATTGTTTTTGCCTACATATTTTTGTACAATGCATTTAGTGACAGAGCGATAAGAACTAATTGTTTACTTTTATGCTAGAAATGTTCTTGTTTTTAGGAGTATATCCTGATACATGTTCAGAAGCAAAATTCTTTTATTTATTCACAATTTATAGAAATCAAATTGTGTACTAATAAATTAATATCTCATTTTTATGGTACTAAACCTGTCTAAGGTGAGCTTCAAAAAAAAAAAAACAGAGTGAGCTTTTTTTTTTCCTTCTTGAATTGGCTCTATAATATTTGTATTTTGTAGTATTCTTTCAAAAAAAAATCTATTTTTATATCTGTGGAATGCACTGATAGAGACATATACTGGCTTTGTTGTGTTTCTTTTTTCTTGGCTTATAAATAGAACCAAAAAGGCAAAAACTGCTAATAATTTAAAACTTTTTGAATGCTTTTTTTTTTTTTTGGATCTTCAAAGTATTTCATGTCTAAATGTTCGGATTAATCTCTCGTTGTTCGATCAAACATACAAAATAGACACAACTACTCAAGAAATTTTTTGCATACTTAAATATTCGAATCCAATACCATTTGCTTAAATGACTATAATATTTGTATTGTGTAGCATTCTTTCAAAAAAAAAGCTATTTTTATACATTTGGAACACCCTAATGGAGGCATATACTTGCTTTGTTGTATTCTTTTTTCTTGGCTTATAAATAGAACCAAAAAGGCAAAAACCGGTAATAATTTAAAACTTTTTGAATGCTTTTTTTTTTTTTGGATCTTCAGAGTATTTCATGTTTAAATATACATATTAATCTCTCGTTGTTTGGTCGGACACACGAAGCGAGCACAACTACTTAAAGAGTTTTCTGCATATACAAATATTCGAAGACAATACCCCTGTTTAAATTATTAGAGTTCAATCTGCTCAATCCAATTATCTTGGGTTGAATGCATCTCTTTCAACCTTAGGAGGATTGTTTAAATCAATAATACAACATTGACCAAAAATCTTAGACAAAGGTTAAGTCTTAACTTAACCAGGTGACATTAATTATCAAGCTAAACAAAATTTTGTTGTCCTTTTAATCCTATCTAGGTGACATTGTTGAATAACTGCATGTAGCACGAGATGATGGATGATCAGTGGCAGTGGTAAAGGAGCTATATGGATTGAATTCTCTCTTCATGGCCTTGTAAACGTGTTCCAATCCTTCTTCTATCAATTCCAAAACAGTTTGTGGCATTGGTGGTGTGGTTATCTCCATTGATCCTTCTAGCATTTTTACTACTTCTCCCATTGAAGGTCTCGTGAAGACCTCATCTTGAATGCACCAAAACGCAACTTTCAATGCTCTCATTAGCTCTTCTTCTTTTACTGATCCTCCGAGTCTGCGATCTGCTGCTTTCAGTGGCGTATCATTCGCCATTGCCTGCACAAATCCATCGATAGCATGATCAGATTAAGCAATAATTATCGCCGTGAAGTAGTCATTGTTGATAAGGTTGAGCAAGAGAAGTTCTGATACCTTAAAAGCCCAGCCAGGGTAAAAGAAGTCCTCTGCGTCAAAAGACATGTCAAGGTTTCTCCTGCCACCGATAATCTCCAGAAGAAGCATTCCATAACTATAAACATCAGCCTTTACAGTTATAGGCCTGTTGCTAACCCATTCTGGAGCCAAATAGCCCCTGGTTCCTCTAACCATCGTCACAACATGTGAATGCTCTCTTCCCATCAACTTAGCTAGTCCAAAATCTGACACCTTAGGACAGAAATTCTCATCTAGCAAAATATTCTCTGGCTTTATATCGCAGTGAATTATCCGGTTTCTGCATTGCTCGTGAAAGTATGCAATCCCTTGCGCAGTAGCAATGGCTATATCGAAGCGTGTCGACCAATCCAGCAGTCTGTCTCGGCAATTATATGAAGGAAAGATCCATTTGTCCAATGACCCATTTTTCAAAAACTCGTAAACTAGGAGACTGCATGCCAATGGCGATGAACAAATTTTCGAGAAAAAAAAAGGAACACAAAAAACCATGTATGAGACTCATAGCATCTAAACTGTAGAATGGACCAATGACATTTGAGGGTTTTCAACGCATTAAAGTGACCAAATTGATTTCTGAGAAAGTTTTCTTACCGGTGCGATCCCTCAGAGCAGTACCCGCATAGACGAACCAAGTTCATGTGGTGCATAGAGCTTATGGTATTTACTTCCGTTACAAATTCTTTCTCCCCATGAGGTAAAACCTTGTCTAGTTTCTTTACAGCAACCAAAGTTCCATCTCCAAGGCTTCCTTTGTATACGCTCCCAAATCCTCCTGCAATAGAACAAGCATAAACCATAGTCAGAACTCAAATGCCCCAAATTTCTCCTCTTTCAGTTCCTCTGTTTCTGTAGCAGACAAACAGTATCTATGATCAATTCTTACCTGTACCAAGTAGCTGTGAAAAATTGCTGGTACGAATTTGCATGTCTCGGTAAGTAAAATGTATTGGAGCACCAGAAAGAATAGGAGAGCTCTTCATGGCTCTTTTCAAGTATCTCTTTTTATGAACATTGTAATATAATAACAGGCATAGTAGGCCAAGAAGAATTGTCATAGTGAGAACTATAGGTATAGCCACAACCTTCTTTCTTGTATCACCATCATCAGACCCGCTTTTACTGCCTCCTCGAGACATCGATTCGTTCGCTCTGACCTTCACAAACAAGGTGGATCCAGTGTCCTCATATCCACCAAAGTCTAAGCTCCTCAGTATCCAACAATAAGGATTCTCATCATCAAGCCCGTAAACAGAAGCTACGCACTCACAATCGGATAGACAAGCATCACCACATTGTGATACTGTAGGAATATCACTATAATTTGCCACCACCGAAAATTCGGAGAAATAATAATTTGTTTGCTGCACAGCTGAAATCTTAAACTCGGATCTCTGATTTGCGTTTCGCGAATCACATTTTCCAATCGACGACGAGTTCTCCGAGCAGAAGTTATCACCTCCTGCCTTGGAAGTTCCGGGCAAGCATGTACAGGAAGCATTAGTCTTGCTTCTATCCAAATAACACACCCCATTACCACAAATTCCAGCAATGTCACAAGGGTTTGACACTGCAGCCCACTCCGGAACCCACTGCCGCGAACCATTAACATCATTATCCCATCGATACAATCGCAAATTCCCATTATTCTCAAGTATTAATCTTCGAAGAACTGCTGACCGAGTACTTGGTTGATTTGTAGCAGAACCTAATCCATTATTGTCATCATCGTTCTTATACACATAAACTGCTCCATTGGATGATTCACCATACACAATTCCGAAGCTTCCTGCATCATCTAAAACAGCAACAACATCCCCGGTAACATTCGAAATATCCGGTCCAGGCCAGTAGGAATAGTTGGCATAAGCTTCAGGGGATGCGTCATAGGTTTCAGGCAGGTTGTATGTTAAAGCAAGGCTTAGAGAAGTGGTCTGCTGTAACATTTTGAGTGAGTAATAGCCACCATGATTAGGTGATTTTGGTGATGTAAGTTCAACAGATACTGTTAAAGGCTGGTTTGGAAGTAAAGTATCAGAAGGGTGTTCAAAACTTTGCCATGCTGAGTGGTTGCTGTTATTGTGGAGGATAAAGTTGCCGGTTTCTTCCATGCTTGCTGATGTAACGCCTGCGCCGGAGGTGTTTGACATCCAAACTGGTCTGTCACCGTCCATTAGGACTAGGTTGCCGGTGGTGTCTAGCTCCAGGATGGCATTTTTGGTGACCAGACAGTTTCTATAGATTAGATCATCACTGAGCAAATAAGAAAGCGTTACCTGCAAGAGCTTTTGTAAAGACTAAAGAAAGATTTTTTTTTTTTCTCTTTTTTCCCTTGTAAAAATCATTGCCATAAATGATCTAGAACAGATTTTCATGGACTTTGCAGCTTAAAATCAAATCCAATAACAACGTAAATTATGTAATATAATACTGCAGTGAAACTATTAGGCCTAGTATGTATTAATGAAGATGATATGTTGAGAATCTAACTGAAAAGAAAAATAGTTTAGGGACTTATGCAAGGTTTTCCTTTTCTTATAAAAAGATGCTTAGACCATAAGGTTTAAATACTAAAGCAAGCGTACCTGTTAGCCGACCAAACTGTGGTTCGATCACCAGGAAGATCTGCGAACCAAATTGCCACCTGAAATTGATCACGAGCGTTAGCAGCTGGAGTGAAACCAAAGGCAAATGTACCATTATCCGAAACCCATTCTTCATCATCTCGAGCCAACAATCTTGAACCCAAACCAATGTAGCTGGCTCTAGCCCTAGCCCCAAGCCCAACTAAAATCAAGAGGAAAATGACCAAACGAGTAGGCATGATAATAACCAAACTTAGAACTTAGCAGGCTACTTGGTTAATAAGAGTGCTAATAATGTTACGAAATTGAAAGAGCCAAAGCTCTAAAATAGAGCGGTGGCCATGCATTATTTATGAGAGGGAAAGAATGGATTGAAAGATGGGTGTAAGGGTTTTACGTGGAGAAGAAAAAATGGAAGATCATAACACGTATACGGTGGTTGGTGAACTACATTTTGAAAAAAATACTCAGACGATCAAATGGTCGGCTAGAGCTATAAGTTATGGGTTTTGCGGCACGTGTATGTTAATCACTTGCAATATCGTGGTTTTCAAATGGACAACGATCAGCCGAAAGGGCTATGCCCTTATTGCCTAATATTTGACACGCAATCTTCAGAATTGAGATTGCAATTCTTCAGATTTTCACATTCTCATGGTTGATGAAAGGGAGTATTTGTTATTATTGCTATAAACAATTCCTCTAGCTACTAGCTAGTTTTGTCCACCTGGGACTTTAGATCAATCTTCAAACATTTTTTCTTCGTTATAATTGTTACATTAATTTTCTATGTCAATGAGTCACGTCAAATTGTTAGATGCATTGAAAGTTTTGTGATGAGGAGATTCAATTTGTCAACAAGAAGGAAAAAGGGCTCCAACGTCGATAGAAGTTGACATGAAATAGATTTGCGGCTGTTTTACTTTTCGGGACCGATTTGGATGTAATTGGGTATGTGGTCATGTCGTGTATTTACGGGACCTTGGCAAGGTGATTAATCACCTGTGGAATTATGTGGGGAGCTGTGGAAAGTATTGATGATTATGAGGGACCATATAATAATGATCCTTTTGAATTAGACTTGCATCATACTGTTGTTCTGTGTTTAACTAAGCTGGTCATCCTGGGGTTTCTATCATTGACATCAGATGTTTTGAAAATACTTCCCTAGCTATGTGTCATTATTTACTAATCCATCAGTCTTGACAAAGAAATGTACAATTAATTGAAGAAAGAGAGAGAATATGGTGTATTGATTACAGCAGCCGAGAAATCATTTTTTTTTTTTTAATTCATTCAAGGCAATAGATCTATTAAACTATATAATAAGGATAATTATTCTCATTATATAATCTTCAAACAAACTAAAATTATCTGAACTCAAATCTTGTTTCATTAAAAAAACTAATCAGCTTTATAATCATTATAATAAACCTGTTTGTATAAGAAATCATCTCTTTAGAACAGTTGGTAGAACCTTATTTCTACATTGCAAAACCAGCATGAGCTCCACAAAGCCGAAGATTCAATTTTTATTGAGGATTCAAATAATAAGAGAGATGAAGTAGGGACTTACGATTTAAAATAGGCAATTCCATTCTGTAGCTTTAAGACCCAATAGGCCGTCTATTATTATTATTATTATTTTTTAAACCATATATTTGTATATGATGTAGCTTGTAGTGTGTAAATAAACTGATATAATTATCTTTATTTTGGTTTTTTCGGTGTGCATTAGGAGTGAGCAATATTCAATTTAAATAAAAATACCAAACCAAAATATTTCGGTTAGTTTTTAACCCAAAAAAATAAAAATAATAAAAGACCGAATCTATTTTGGTTTTTGAAAAATTTTGGCTGATTTTTTTTTTAAAAAAAAACATGTTGATTGTTATTTGAACTTTTGATAATTCAGTGAACAACATGTTTGAACAATCAATATTTTTTATCATTAAATATTTTATATGTGAATTAATAGACTTGTATTTAAATTTTGATATTTTTATTATGTGGTATGGTTTTGTATTTTACTCTTATTTAAACAAATATTTATTATCTTAGTATATAGAGTAATTTAGACCATTTGGGTTGAAGAAAGGACTTCATAGTCCATAACACCATTTTTAGGCCTATTTACATTTTTTTTTTTAAATCAATTTTAGCTGAAAACAAAAAGATTGAAAAACCAAATAGTAAGACTTTTCGGACTTGGGTTTTTCTTTTATGAGTTTGGTTAATCAAAAATCGAACCAAAAAATTAAAAATCAAAACTAAATACTCATCCCTATTTTCTTTATTATAATATATCAAATTTGATATCCATAAAGAATGTTTAATTATCTTAAATCATAGCTCATTTGAGACCTACATTCCATTCGTGTCAAACCCATTCAAAACATGAATTATTTCCTTTAACAAATTTTTTACCATACCTCTGTGTGAAATATATTAGTCAAATTTGATTAACCACTTATCAGGTTACGTATTGTTTAGATTAAACTTAAAAATCTCGTCCCAAAAATAATAAAATGAAAAGAACAAAAAAGTTTTTAAAAAATGTGTAATACATATAATATATCACGTCATCAATTAATGTGTATTTAATTTAAAATCTCAATTTTTATGTAAAAGAAATTCCATTAAATAATTATGTGCTTGAAAAACTAAATATTCATACAACTATTAGACCGGCCAATAAGTCGATCTATTTCATACATTGGATCGTATTCGCATGTGACACGATCAAATCTGAAAAGAATACGTTAAAACCGACAAGAACCAGTTGACCCAATGGGTTTGAACCAGTCCCTTGAAGATGGCATGTCTTTCATATTTCATGTAAGGAGACATGTCATTCATGTAAGGAGACATGCTATTAAAAAGTTGCCGCCTTTAGTGTACCGGTTCCGATAAGATTGGGCTATCTGCTGCACTCTCTGAAACGCACCGGGACCGATGAAGTGTCGTTCGCTCATCTTGGGTTCCTCAATGGGTCCTGAGCTTTTCCTCTTTGTTGTCAGGATTGGCTCAGAGAATCCTAGAACCATTGCTCATCCAACTCCTACAGTTCAATATTTTTTTTTTAAAAAAAAACGTTTGGATTTCTTGATCTAGATCTCATTTAATTGATATTTTTAATCAATATCGTGTTTTCTTCTTGATATATAAAAAATAAAAAATTCGCTGTAATAATATTCTCTTTCCTTTTTCTAATAATGCAAAGGGTTTAAAATAGGGAATGTTGCTTCTTCTTTATTTTCTTTTCTTTTTTTCCTAATATTTTCACCCACCTTCTGTTTTCCTTAGTCATTTTAAGAAAGAGTTATATTATCCCTTTCTTTCAAGAATGGTGCTTTTATTTGTCGTTGTATGTAAGTATATATATATATATTTTTTTCATTTTATTAAAATCACAAGAAGTTAAATTATCCTTTGACTTATGAGTTGCGTGTGGGAGTAGCTTTTCTTATTTCATTAGCCTTTTTTTCTTTTTCAAACCTAATTTTATTAACCCATTCCTCTTTTTTCAATCTATTTTCTTATTTTATCCTATTATTAAACGACAGACAATACATCTATTTTCAAAGAGTAGCAATTTTCATATTCTGCAGCAAAACTCGATTGTCTCTTTCTGTTTCAACTTCCTGCTTAACTTCTCTTGCTATGCAAGTACCAAAAAAAAAAAAAAAGAAAGAAGCTAAAAGTTATGTTTTCTTTTTTTAAATGAATTATATATACATATATATGTATAATAAAATTGAAAAAAATCCAAAATTGCTTCTGTGCTTGTATGACAAATAAATCCTTATGTAAACCAATTCGATCAAAAAAAAATTTCCGTGTGTTTGCAAACTTTAATCAATTCAATCCAATTGGACTTGATTGCATTAAATTATAAGATAACTAGTAATTAAAATTTTGAAAAACCTTAACAAATTAAAAAAAACATCGATTTGTTTTTAAAACTAAAAAGTTTTGGAAATTTTTTAAAAATAAAAAATTCGAGTTAATTACATTTTTAGTTTATAAACTTGTCAATTTTTTTTCTAATCAAGCATGTTTTTTAATTTTTTTGTTATTTGAGTAGACAAAGTTGTAATTTTTTAATCAAATATTTTTATTAACTTTATGTTAACGTCGCCATTAACTGCACACCTAACACCATACATAGACTTCACTGTCATTTTTTTCTTGTAAAACTTGTTAATTTTTTTTTCTATTTAAGTAAGTGAATTATGATTTTTGATATTTGAATGTATCAACTTATAGTTTTTTCTATTTGAATAGTTTTGTTAATTCAAAACTGATGTGTTCGTTATTAAATGTTTTTACATAAAAAGAAATACTACGACAAAAATGTTTATTATTTAAAAAATGTTTGTATTTCAAAAATCAAATAAAGATACTATTACAAAAATGAGGATAGATCAACTAATAACTATATAAAATTAAACCATCTTATCTAATCTATATTCAATTCACCCTTCACTTTAAATTAATACTCAATTTCATATCTTGATCTTCTAAACAGTTGTCATTCTCAGCTTTTCTATTAATTCTCAGCTTTTTTACTAAGAATAAGAATGGATTGTTATCTTAGTGAATGAATAAATTTTTTTTTTAATTTTCAATCATTTTCTTGTACTTGGATATGTTTGAGTAATTTGTTTGGCTTAAAAAAAACTATATAAAGGTCATAAATATCTTATTGTTATTATGCAATTTATTTGTTTTTATTTTTGCTATCCGAGAATGAGAATGAATCGTTATTTTTTTATTTTTTTAGTCTTCATGTATCTTGTCAATAGACCCACATGGCGATTTCATGTTTGCAAGTAAGAAACATACCAATTTAGAGTGAATGAAATCATTAAAATAAAAATAAAATTATAAGTTAGTACACTCAAATAGCAAAGATTAAAATTTACGCCTTTAAATAAAAAAAAAATTGATAAGTTTGTACAAAAAAAATATTGACATTGCAGCTCGCATATCGATGCCATATGTGCAATTAACGTCCACGTCAACATAAAGTTAACTGGAGTTAATGAAAACACTTGATTAAAAAAATTATAACTTAGTCTACTCAAATAATAAAGATTTAAAAGAGTACACACTTGATTAGAAAAAAAAATATGATAAGTTGGTAAACAAAAAATGTAAGAGATAATAATGATTTTCTAAATCTAAATCTAAAGTCAATCGTAGTATAAAATGATTTTCTAAATAAAAAATTGTA